AAATAGCATTCTTAGGAGCGAGTCTGGGAATAGGAATAATTCGGGACATTTTACCGGAATATACTCAAAGCAATACACAAAACAGCAACAGGAAAATGGTCTGCGTTCATTCCTACCAGCAAGGAAAATCCATTTTTCTCCGGTCTGAGAATCTCTTAGCATGGTTCTGTTCAAAAACCAGGATGGACTTTTGCCGCTGTTATCATGCCAAATCCTTACTCCACGAATGACTCCAAGGCTTTTTGGCAAAGAAATTATGAAAACGTTCAAATCCCCTCTTCTGAACAGCGGTCGAGTGGAGTCAAGCAAGTAGCATGGGCCACTATTCTCACTCTCACCAAAGATCTCACAGCCGACATGCGCAGTTGTTCCGGACCCGTTCCGACTTCCTGTCACAAAGTAGATCTCGTACAGGTAATTGCTGTTAGGTCGGTTGGCTGGAAGGATGGTAGCGCCGATCTAGAAGGTAAGCAACAAGAGAACAATAAAAATTAGCAATAAATCCCCGTCGCCACGAAGAACTTGATCGAGACTTTCTCGATCTTGTTAAGTTTTTCTTTACCTTCACACAGTTTTCACTTGCCTGAATCAAGATCGGATGAAGGGAGGGATAATTAATCCCCCATACAGGCCTAATTCCCTATTCCCTCTCAAAGTACTTTAGATCACTTTTGGTTTTGGAATTCGCTGGAGGGTCTGGAAAAATCTAATCCTTCGACGCAAATTTTGCTAACTTGGACAGCGCAAGATGCCTTACATCCTTCCTGAAAATGTTTACTCAACAAGCGTTTAATTTTAAGAGGATCCACCCAAGAACTGGGTAACTCCAACAGAAACCAGTTTCTTTGGCAAGGGATGCTTACTGAAAGGAGGGCACTACATCAAATCATTAAAATACGGAGGTAAACCTAGCAGTAGCCGTCTACTTTCTAACCTGCATGGCGTCTCTCTTGTCGGTTCTCCAAGTCCATACGGCCAGTAATGTGTATAATATTAATAGAGTTAAGATGGTGAACATCACTACCACGTTGCCACTTTGAAAAGCTGTCGCAAAGCCTAGCAACGCTTTGCTGAAGTCGATTGGATTTGGCGCCACAAACATTCCTGATCCAAAGGATGTAAGATGATTTGTCATGCAGTGGATTCGCTTTGGACTGGTTAATGGTCCAACCTACGAATGAAGTTTAGTGGTTTTAGGAAGAACAACAAAAAAGAGACATCATGAAGTGGGTATAACAACATAATCGTTAGAGATCCGCCAATAGAGCAGTTTGTCAACTAGCTAAAATGACTTATAACGAGGCCAAAAAGAACACACTTGTACTAAATGACTGCATGAATTGTTTCGTAAGCTCCACTCGCTGTTGGTGTGAATCTATATTCCACGTTACAACCAGCTTAAATGCCTTATAGCGAGATTATGATCATAATCTCTTACCTATACTGATCCTAAAAAACCCCTATACTAACTATCCGTACGAGATCTTTCGTATGCTTGCTCTGGTCTGGTGTTGTGAAAATTCCAGGACAAAAGGTCTTTAAAGAGATCATAAAAAGATTTTCAACGGAAACCTAAATAGCAATGTTGCAAAGACATCATCCTTTGCATGTTCGTCAGAGTTGGTTTAGTAAATCTTTGTTCGTCTAACGCACTGGCGATGAACTGAGTGGAAAGTGAAAGAAGCGAAAAGCTATCAAAGAAACTCACGATACAGCCGTCCCCCATCCATGACTCCTTTCTTTCATTCCAGTACAGGCATTTTGATTTCAACACTCTAATTGAGTACCTCATCACGTCGGTCTCGTTGGAATTTCTTGTGTCCTGTTTCCCATTTGCGTACCATATTCCAATAAAGTAAGTGGATTCTCGCAATTTTGTATTTGATATGAAAAGAGTGTAAGCGGAGTGTTTTTCAAAGCACGTTGTGTAGTTTAAGCTCGGTCGATCTCCGCTAGAGGGCTCCGAGATAATCTTTTTCCAGGTAAATTTATCTTTAGTGGGATGTCTGTTCTCTCGCACGTAGAGGTGGAGTTTGTGACTGCACTTGAATGGTGTAACCTCGATGTTAACCGCTTCATCTTTGGAGGAAATGACAAGCTTGTGATACGCCCAAGTGTTTTCAGTGACGTTTAGACTGTATTTATGCGATTCTGGCAGGACATCTGGCCCCGGTAAGGAATATTCAATGTAGGTCTCGAGGTTCGAAACTGGAATTGCTTCTTCTTTTTCCTTGTCTTCGTACGATAAACTCACAACAGGGCTGTTGACGCCTTTAGAGGTTTCGTCGTAATTGTAGTAATTTCTCGGCATCGAAAACACCTGTGAATAGGGAAGATGCAAACGTTGGACTTTCTGCAGCAATAACGTGAATTTATTGCCCCACTGCTCTGTTGGATATTTGTGGGTGGTTGGTTTACATTCGTCTGAGGGTGCGCTTACAACAGAGGGTCTGGATAACAATAGCTACTCGCTAGCGACAGTAATTATTAACTCACCTTGCATTGTGTACAGACGGACAATTCTGCTCATTTCTGTACACCAATACACGAGTAAAATAGAGTAATTATTTCAAAGAATTTCATTTTTGTCCATGTTATAACTGATTTTTATCCGTGCCATCTTTGGTTATCGTCATTGAGTAATAATCTTCACTTACTAAGCTCACACCCAAAGTGTACCTTTTGATTGACTGATGTCAATCCTGGTTTTGCTTGACGGAACATATTGTTTCCACTTGGCAAATCAAAATTTGCGTATCCCACGTTCACTTTCCCTCCAGCATTAAAGGGCGTGGCACTCTTTAGGCTCATGGCAAGATGTGGAGTGGAGATCTCCGTGGAATCTTCAAATGGAATCTTTCTCCTAAGCACCGATGCTGCCAGGAAATTTAAGACACTGAATAACTTTTTCACCAACAGCTTACCCTGAAACATAAATGAACCATAGATTTATAAGGTATGTTAACAAGTTTACTTCATACCGAAATTAAGATCTTTCAATCACTTTCAAGGGACCAGACTTATAACACCATCGACTGACTAACACTATTCACTTGGCTATGAAAATGACTTCCGCTCAGGTTGTGGAAACGTCAGTCACCACCAACAGTTCTTTTCAGACCTACCCTCACCCGGACGATCACACAAGATGAACTGTTAAGGACTGTTCTGTTGTATCCCACCTTAGACTGATTTCTATCAATTTCCACTGAGCTTAATAAATAAAATTATATCTTGATGATATAACGTCTATAAATGTGAATTCATTTTCGAGAAACACTCGCTCACTCACTCTCTGTCGCTTAGTTTCTTGTTCAATAATCTGTGATGATGTCATGTTCGTGCTGTTAGGCTGATTGATAGCTGCATTGTCAGAAGCGGGGCCAAGTAAATTTCCAATTGTTCCGCAAACATTAGCAGCAGCTGCATCCGCTGAATCGGAGTCAGTCTCCTGCGATTCACGGTCAAGTACAGCAGCCATGCTGGACAGGGCCAAGGTACCTGCTTCCTGGAAAACGATAAAGGTTGCTCATGTGGTAGAAGTTTACTTAAGGAAACTCAAAACTCTTATTGCAAGATCTGATCCTGATGGTGGTCACTTAGTGGAGTGATGTATACCTTAACTTTTCATCGCTCTGATTCCTTCTGAGAGATTCCCGCTTAGAGGAAGGAATCACGTGGCGTATACTCCTTTATAGATTTGCATGGACGCAACTTACGTATTCTCGCAATTATATGGAATTTAGATTGTTATTTACCTGCGCTTCCAGAGATACTTCATTCGCAACCTGAGTTACTTGATAGAGCGACCCTGACACAAGTTGTACGGCCTTTACTGAAATGGTCCTTTGATTACTTAACGCCATTGTCAGAGAATCCCGCACCTGTGTATTGGTAGAAACAAAATTAAAGGAAGAACAATGTGTATTGATCCACAACCAAGCTTTTAGAAGACCAAAACCAGACTTTCTACATTTTAGACTAATAAAATTAATATAGCTATTCAAGCCAGTTGGGGCAGTGTAATTCAGCTTACATGAGGTTTCAGGCATGTTCCATATATCGACATTCTCAAGGCTGCGTTGGGCAAAGTGTCTCAAGTCGCCGGAGGATATATTTGGTTTTTGCAACATTCAGCGACTGTGAGGGTTTCTACTCCCTCCTGGATGGAATGCTAGCGCATTACAGGGTTACCACTGACTTCACTGACTTCCATTTATACACTGCATTTGGAAGGAGAGAGACAGAGAGTAAAGTGTCTTGCCCAAAAATGCAGCGCAATGACCTCAGCCAGTGCTTGAACCCAGACCTTTGGTTCTGGAGTCCAGTGCACTAATGATCACATTACGGCGTCTCCCCTTGACTGCATATCTATTGCAATATTTTGATCAAACCTTCTGTCCATTTGTTAATTTTGCTTGCTGGTTCAAAACAGAACAGATGCTTCCAGCCATGCGTGCTACATCCTGATTCTTTCCTGATTTCTGTAACGTCTTCAAGGGACTGTTGTCTCCAGTTGTCATACTAAACAAGTGATTCATCAGTTCAACGCCTTTAAGGATTGGAGGAAGGGACTGAAACAAAGGGAGAAATAACAAAATGAAAGTGGGGCTCAGAAACGTTATTTAATTGGATGGCCACGCCGATGAACAGACGAAAAATTCAGAACCATCTTGTTCAACACAAAGATGAGTGCTGGACCTCGATACTTACCTGCACTTGAAGTTTAACAAGCGCTGCTGCACCTAATCTGTCAGAGACACGAACTGTAATATTGATTGTGTAATTCTGCCCTTCGCCCAGAGGAAGTGAAATCGTAGCATCAGCGTCTCCTCCGTAATACAGCGGTGATTCTAGTGTCCCTTGAACGTGAATAATCTCGTACTTAAGAGGAGCATCAGGATCATGCCACCCGGTACACCAGACCTTGTAACGAGTGGTCAGCACGTGGCCTACACGTGGTTTGGCATAGCATGCCCCACCTGTAGGAGGGGCATTCACTTGGAATGTGTAAGAAGCTCGTCCATAGATACCATTCGGCAGAAATCCCACGACAACAAGTTTATAGACTTTGTTTCCGTGCAAAATATCTTTCTTTATGACAATGTTCGGAAAGCTAACAAATGAAGAGATGTCTGGAGTGTCCATTGTCGCATTATCGAGTTGCCAAGTTGGGTTTTTGCCTCTTTGGGTTTGCAGGAAGAACAGGGACCAAGAATAAAGTATCGTGTTTGCACAGGCCCTGTCAGGACACTCCGATGATATGGATAGCTTATCCGAAGGATTGACTTTGTGTTCACAGTTCACAACACACCTTCAAAAAGAGAAAAGCGATATCATCGATATCAGATGAGATTTTGCAGTTTTATAGATTTTTCTTCATTATAGGCTCTTCACTTTAAGCAACTGATATGGTCGTAGAGACAGATAACGGCTTGGGAGATGAAAATTAACATGAGCATTAAAGACACAGACGAAGACGAACAATTCCGGGCAAATGATTTTTGAAGTTTTCAAAGAAACTCAGTTTAAATTGTCAGGGGAGCGATTGTGCTAACTATCAGTAAGGAAATGACATTACGCTAAGGATTAGAGTTAGCTAACCCTAACCCTAAGTTTTTGTTTAGAGTGTAGTGTTGTAACAATCATCGTAGCAGGAACTTGCTCTGGATCTATAAAACCCAGAGGTGAATTTCAACTCGCCCAAAGTTATGACAGTTTCGAAAACCCCAGCAATCACTGGTAATCTTGGAGATTACGCTGTCATTTATTGACTACACTCCATGTAACTTTACTTTTGTAGCTTGTATTTACTGGCGGCCACGTTTGGGTAATTGCGGAGGCTAAATGACACTTAAGGGACACGAAAGGCAGATAGATAAAATAAATAATTGTCTAGAATGACTCATACTTGGCAATTTAAACACCCGAATACGTTGTAGCTTGTAGTAGACCTCAGTATTCTTACCGTATGGTGAGGTTTAGAATGTCTTCAGTGTCTAACTCGAGTAACTGAGTTGTGAAGCTGGTTCTGTTATCCTTCCGTACCATTAGCACAATCTCGTATGTTTCGTCTGGTGCCATGCGACTTGTTGTCAGTTCAAACTTGGTTGCGCTGGAAAGAAGGAACTGCCCATCTCGATAGCAGCCTTTACCAGAACTGGTAGAGAATCCAGAGGAAAATTCAGATAAGACATCTACAGTGCCATTGATGAAACCTTCCGCCGGTTCTGGAAAGCTTTCAAAGGTATTTCTACAAAGCCAGGCAAAACTCATCCCTGTTGAGAAAGACAAAGCATGCTGAACCGGCTGTTATATGCATGTGCTGAATTGGTGATTGTTGTATTTTGATATCGACTCTGTTTCTCGTTTTTGGCTTAGTTCAGTGTAAAACGAATAGTGGAAACGACCAACTAACAATGCAAGTTAGCTTCAACAGGAAAATAAATTGAAACGAAGCTTTTGTGATAATGTCAAGAATCACAAATACCTGAATAATTTCCGGGGCCAACGTCTGGGTCATACGAATCCAGGCCATCTACAGATAATACGGAACCAAAACGTCTTTTTATCTCACTTCCGCCACTTATTTTGGCAACCAAGTCGGACTGGACTATTTGGATATATCCCTCAGCAAAAGCAAAGAAATCCTGCAAGTCCTCTCCAACCAGTGTGACGGACAAATTCAATCTAAACACTCCTAATGGCAGTGCTCTCCTTGTTAGACGCAATTCTTGCATAGAAGCTTCGCCGTAAGAAACAACATCGCCAAACTGCGAAAAGAGTCCAGTTTCTGGATTGTATTGAAAGATGTTCCATTCATATGCGGATTCTCTCGATTCAGGACAGAATATTTCAATGTTAGCCTCAATCTCGACGACGTCAACCGTGAAAAAGGATCTCGCAGCAGCAGGAGAGGCGCCAACGCCCTTTAATATAATTTCAGGTTTCTTACAAGGTCTTGAAAGAATCTCAACCACACAATTAACAGATGATATGGAGACGTCATTTCCCACGCTCACTGTAATGTTATAAACTCCTTCATTTTGATAGACGTGATGTAAAATTGAAGTTCTCTTCAACTCTCCTCTATAGTTCGTAACCATGCCATGCCTTCTTGATATAAGGCTATTTTTATGTGGTCCGTACCAATAACTGGTGCTGTTGTCCACTTCAATAAGAAGGCTCGAGTTTGTTCCAAAAATTTCGATAGTTGCTCGAATGGTAACAGTTTCATTCCTAACCTTCGGCGAGGAACATTCAAGATCGCCGTTCAGGAAAGATGCAGGTTTTTGAACAGCAATAACCACAGTAGAAACCGCTTGACTCAACTGATTTCCAACTCGAATTGTCGCTGTGTATATTCCGGGCGTATTAAATGTGTGCTCGATCCTTTTATGTCCAAACTGTTCCACAGTGCCGCTTATCGACCAGGTGTACTTTAAGCTAGAACCATTGTAAGTGGTGGCTTCAAGAACAACAGGAACTCCTTCTGGAAAGATATTCATATTCATGCCATGACCTGCATGCAAAATACCTCCCTCGAAATAGCTCATATTGACATGAACGTCAGATACTGGGATCTCTATGGAGACCAGCTGTGAGTGACGCAATAAGGGAGTGACAAGATTTTCGGCGGTTATAGTGATGTTGTATATACCAGGTTGCTTGTAGATGGCTGGCGTTATCCAGGACAAATAGTTTACGTGCAAATCTTGATTTTCAATACTGAGGTCGTGCTGATTAAAATACGCTTTAAAAGTTACATTTGTACCACTTGCTATACTCCAATGGACAGAAAACGTTTTCCCAAAAACAACTGGACCAACAGGTGGAACTTGGAAGAGTTTGATTTCTTCTTGCACCGTGACAAGACTCACAGCTGTCACATTGCTCAAGCGATTTTGACACATCCCAGTGACTTGATACACACCCACTCGCTTGAAAACGTGTCTTGCAGATATGCTTACATTGGAGAAGGTTTCGACGCTAACATCTAAATCTTTGAAATATATCAGCTCCTCATCCACGCTTTGTCTCAACTCTTGTCCATCTCCAAACTCCCAGTGACAAAC